AGGCTGAAATCGAAGTGCTCGTCTTGAGCCCCGACGGCTGAGAACTTAAACGCCCCATGAGGCTCGCTCTCCGCAAAAACATCTCTCGCATCCGGTAGGGAAACCGTCAGGTAGATCTTATCAGAACGCTGCGCCCACAGAACTTCCGGCTGTCGACTGAGTACCCAAAAAATCACCCACCATGACAAGACAAAACAAAACAAACCACAAAAATATCTCCTTCCTCCAAAAGAAACAGAGATTTCATCGAAAGTAAACAGAAACATCCAAGCAAAAGGTCAATAATTACTGCAACGTAAAAAAAACGATGAATCGCATGGCGAGAACAAAAGCACAAAATAGAAGGGTTCAAGAGGAGAGCCAGCGTTACCCCATGAGTGAGGAAGCGTCAAAGAAGCCCTAGAATTTAGAAGGAAAGGGGGGGTTGGGTTTGTAGTAGAGAGGAAGACAGATGGGGAAGTGGGCGGAGCCCGAGAGTCGCCGTCGCCGGGCGGGGAGGCGAAGGGAAGCCAAGGCGTTCTAATCATGAAGAGGAAATCGTCCGAATAAACCAAAACAATATTAGGCACATAAATAAGTAAAATAAATAAATGACTTTCCATTTCTCTAAAGTTTATTTTTTGTTTTTAATTATTTCTCTTAATTTTTTGAATTCTTGTACGGATTTTTTTGTACTTGTTGGCATTTTTAATTATTTCTCTTAATTAATTGTGTCTCAACCAACAAGCGACAATATTAGACCAGTCATTTTCTTTTTTTAGGAGCAAAATAATGATTGACAATTATATGATGAAAAATAGGAGCATCCTATAGTATTAAAAAATAAAAATTATTGATAAATCATGCTTATTATTTTTTAGATAAATTTAAATTATTTTTTAACTAAAATAGATAATATAAAGTTTTTATGTCCACTTCTTTTGTATTATGATCGGTGGTGCAATATAAAAAGAAATAATTTTTATATATGAATAAATACTAGCAAACCATAACATACAGCGGAATTAAATGGAATCACAATAAAATAAAACACCAAGATATAGATAAAAAACTCCTTCAAGAAGGGTAAAAATCATGGGATAAACTAGAGATAATCCACTATAATAATAATAAATATACAAATCTCAATCTCTTACGTAAAACCCTAGCAACAATCACAATATAATAATTGGGATACAAGGATCATGTTACTGTACACAATATCTAAATCCTTCATAATTCTCCCCAAGTAATCATAGTAAAAATCTACTATAGATCTGGTCTAACATGAGATAAAAGCAATGTCCTAAGTAATCATAGTAAAAATCTACTATAGATCTGATCTAACATGAGATAAAAGCAATGTTAGATGATTGAGAACAGTTTCTCTGTGTTATCCTTATCTTATTCCATTTCTTTCTCTTCGTTTTGTAAATTATATTATAATTTTATATATATATATATATATAACCACACTAGTATAGGAAAATAAGAACCTAATGCACGTATTTCGATGATTACTTGAAAGAAGAATCTGATGCAAATCTTAGGAAAAGATGAAGAATCTGATGCATAGATTTGGATACGTGTTTAGCTCCTCCATTGAGTGGTCGCGGGAGATGACGACGGCGTTTAGATCCAATCATAATGATCGCAATAAAAAGCGTGAATGAACCTGTGAGTGATCAAGAAACATAAGTTCTAAAACATTATTGATGATCAACATTTTTGTTCATTTTAGTTCATAATAGAAAATGAAATCTAATTATCCGTAGATGTCCAAAGAACAGAACAGTGAACAAGAAAGTTCAAATCAACTAAAGAGTGACCCATATAACTCAACTCCCTTGCTTTCGACGGTGAGAGCGTTTATTTGACATGATGTGTTCCATTTCTGGCTATATGTCTTACTATTTTTGTGTATCAGTGTGCATATTGGAAGTTCAAAAACCATGCTAGAATTCAAACTCATTTTTATGAGTATTTGTTGTATACACTTGTCACCATAACCTATCTAATATCGTGTAATAGTGTCACTTAAGAGTGGGGAGATTATATTTTTTTATTAAAAATGTTATCATATATTGATTTATTTTCGGAGGATCATAATATTTTTTCATAAATACATCTAGAGTAAAATAAATAAATATTTATTTTTATTAATAACTTATAAATATTTATTATAATTTACTTATTCATTAAATCATAAGTCAATAATTTTTTTTGACTTTATCGAAGAACATAATGATGTTAACTTGAAGAAACATTTAAGTGGTTATACTTAGCGATAGAGGAAAGTTTGTTCTCTGTTGAGATTTGGTTTAATACTAGTGAGAGGCTGCATTATAAATTAAAAATGAAAAATTTCAGTAACGCTGAGTAGAAAGCCCTATAAATCAACTAAAAATGAATACATGATAAAAAATCAATCATCCCGTTGACTTATATTAAATATCCGAATAAGCAATCCCCCAATAATGAGTGAAGACAAACCTGTATCGTACTCCCAATAGTCGATAGAGTGGTGTTCATTATCTTAAATCAATTTAAACTAATCAATTCTGATTTAATTCAATCTGATTTAATTCAATCGATGTTTGAGTATAAATCCAACAATTACACAATACTAGACTAAGTTTGATTAGATTGAGTTGGGTTAATGGTAATTTGCACTACATATAATTGTGCATGCACCCCCATCGGGCTGAATCAGCCTTTGGCCCATTGATTGATCATTTGAGTCACACATGATTATCCATATTGGGTTAGGCTAAGCTAGTTTATAGGCTAGTATCTAATGCAGGTTAGGCCTAACTTACAGGCTAATCTTAATATATTGATTGCACCTCACTGTGGGTTGTGGTATGGCCTACTGGTTGGGCCTACCCATTGGGTTATGACTTGGGTTGAGCTTAATCTATTAGTTGGGCCTGATATATTAACTAGACCTATGTCTTGAATTGTGATAGTATATATTCACTAACAATAATACATTAAAACATAACAATAGATTAAAAGATAATTGAAAGATAAATATAATAATATTTTTAATTTAAATAAAAAAATCATGACATGAATAATTTTAATCAAATCTAATCAAACAATAACATTATAAACCTTAAATCTTAAGAAGATAAAGAATATCTAAAAAATTAGATAAATATATTAATTTAATAATAATAATTAAATATTTAAAGGATCAATAAATGTTTTTGAACTTCATGCAATATATTTTAATATTAGAAATAAAGGAATCAAAGCAACTTTTATTTTTTAAGAAAGTTAAGGATTTATCTCACTTGTACCCTATGTTACTAGGCTTGGCTTAATGGAAAACGAAGGAGAAAAATCCCTAAAAGTTGAGATGAGCCCTCCATTTAAAGGGATATTTTTTAAATTTTATATTTATTTAATATATTAACAAATATGATATCATTCTATTTGAAATACTTAATAGTTATTTTATAAAGTAAGGAAATAGAAATTAATATTTTCTATATTACAATGGATAAATAAAAAAATAATTTCTAAAACAAAATTTTGATTACAAATTTTACCTGTAAAATTCTTTATATTATCAATCTCATCATGGTTCTCAAATGAACACGGTGAGAGACGAAGATCAAACGTTATGCATGATTGCCGCAGTGACTGTTGCATGGAAGATGTGCGATCTCTTTTCCCATGTCACTGCTTCGCCAAACAGATGAGGTTACAAAGGCAATGAAAAGGCCACGGAGAACACTGGGAAGAAACAAGAAATGAAAACGAGAAACCATCACAACATATACAAGCTTGGCAGGTTTCTGGAAAAGCATTAATCTCTCATGGCTTGTTCTTGCACAACAGGTGTGAGGGCCACATAAATTACTCAGCCACTGCTGCTCCAGTCTGTGTTTATGGGGCCTGTAGTTAAATGACCTGATTCAATCTTCATGTCCTTTCTCTAGTGTTATTTCTTGCTCTATTGATATGTCTAAGAGCGGTGCCATCCTTTTCTATTTTTGTGCTCTATGCGAAGTGGAGGTTTAGCCAAAAGCTCGCCGTGGAATCTACCACGAGAAACATGTTCTTCACCTTCATGCTGAAACAAGCATAACAAGCTATCTGCAGATATTCTGGTGATTAAATGGTGGAAAGAATTTATTACTTTCAGCATTCCACCAATCTTTTGAAACTTTCTCGATCTCAATCTGGCTACTAAAAGCACACCGACAAACCTGTCGTTGAATCAGCCGTTGAGGTCATTCTTTTGTATTCCCCATGTATTAAACCTCCACTGCAGAAGCCCTGCAGCATCACCTCTGCTGGAGTTCAGCTGCAGTGCTGTTCTTGGTTAGTAAGGTGAAAGGAATACATTTGATGAGCTGAAAGAAACAAATGGGACAGGGTGGTATGAGTTTTAGTATTTTCGTAGTCCTGCATGCAAGTCTTTACGGTGAAGAATTTAATGTATGCCACAACCAAGCCAACGTTCATATTTACAGACAGCATTCAGAATGGCCATCTCCTCATTATTCTCCCCATCACCTCCATCTCTCTCTCAGCCAAAAAAAAAAGGCTCACTGTTCACCTTCTTCTCTCTCTCTCTCTCTCTCTCTCTCTCTCGTTCTATCTGAGCTCACATAAGCCAACTAACTGAGCAAGCCAAAAAGCCCTTCATGCAACGCATTTACTCTCTCTCCGTCTCGCTCTCTGGGGCACGGATCTTCCCTGACTTCTTGTTCTAAATTACATCGGTACCCCTGCGATAATGGACACGTCACACGTGCTCACGCGACCGTTGAGCCGTAGTGGCAGAACCGTAATACCAGGGAAGGAACAGGGGATCTTAATTGGATGGGATCTGGGATCACTTTTCGTTTGGATCCCACGGCCTGACACAACTTGTCGGCTGCTCCGCACTCCGAGATGTCTCCACGTGGATGCTATACTAATCTGACGTGTATTTCCCGTGACGTGGGACTCTTCCGTGCTCTTTTTAAGCTCCGCGTGTTCTCGCCTCTCCACTCGCTCGCACAGAAACGGTCGGATTCCGTCGAAAAGCTCTCTCGCTCGCTGTCGCTCTCTGCTTCTTTCCGTTGGAGAAGAAGGCGTGGGAATCTCAAAGGAAAGCTGAGATTTTTGGAGAAGAAGAAGCGTGATACCGAGGCAGTTGATATCGGAGGTGGTGGTGAGGTTGGTGCTGGAGGAGAATGGCGGAGGGAGGGAACCGGAGACTGGTGGTGGAGGTGTGCAATGCGCGGAACCTGATGCCCAAGGACGGGCAAGGGACGGCCAGCGCCTACGTGATGGTGGACTTCGACGGGCAGCGGCGGCGGACCAAGACGCGGCTCCGGGACCTCAACCCCCAATGGGACGAGAAGCTCGAGTTCCTAGTGCACGACCCCGAGTCAATGGCCGCCGAGACCCTGGAGCTCAACGTCTACAACGACAAGAAGACCGGCAAGCGGAACACCTTCCTCGGGAAGGTCAAGATCTCCGGCACCAGCTTCGCCAAGGCCGGCTCTGAGGCCCTCATCTACTACCCCTTGGAGAAGAGGAGCGTCTTCTCCCAGGTGAAGGGTGAGCTCGGCCTCCGCGTGAGTTACATTGACGAGGCTCCTCCCCCGGCCGCCGATGAGGCTCCGGCTACCGAGGCCAAGCCAGAGGCTCCGCCGGTTGCCGAGGACAAGAAACCGGCGGCGGAAGAGGAGAAGAAGCCCGAGGAAGCAAAGAAAACGGATGAGGCAAAGAAGCCAGAGAAGACCAAAACAGACGAGAAGGCCGCCCCTGCTTCCAAGGACGAGGAGAAGAAGAAACAACCCGAGAAGACAAAGCCCACGGAGGCCGCTCCGGCCAGCACCGACGCCGGTAAACCTAAGGAGGACAAGCAGAAGGCACCACCTTTGCCAGCGCCGACGCCGCCGGCCACCCCGGCCAAGGACTCGCACCCATTGGGCCTCAGCGACCTCGAAATCCGCCCTTTCGCCGGCGAGCGCCCCTCCAGCTCGTACGACCTCGTGGACCGCGTGCCCTACCTCTTCGTCCGCGTCCTGAAGGCGAAGCATGGCGGCGCGGAAGGCCGGCCCGTCTATGCGCAGGTGGTCATCGGCAGCCACAGCGTGCGCACCCGGATCGTCAGGTCAGCGGACTGGGACCAGGTCTTCGCGTTCCACAAGGAGAACCTCAACTCCACGGCCCTTGAGGTGTTCGTGCACGAGGAGAAGAAGGACGGAGACAAGCCCGCCGAAGACGTGAGCCTCGGCTCCGTCTGTTTTGACCTCCAGGAAATCCCGAAGCGGTCGCCGCCGGACTCCCCCCTGGCGCCCCAATGGTATACCCTTGAGGCCTCCACGCCGGAACCAACGGCGGCACCGGGGAATGACGTCATGCTCGCCGTGTGGGTCGGGACGCAGGTCGACGAGGCGTTCCAGGAGGCGTGGCAATCGGATTCCGGCGGCCTCAACGTGCACACCCGCTCTAAGGCCTACCTCTCTCCCAAACTGTGGTACCTCCGGCTAACGGTGATCCAGACGCAGGACCTCCACCTCCCTCCCGCCCCTGACACCAAGTCGCCGATATCGGGTGGCGCCACGGGACCTGAGATCCTCGTCAAGGGCCAGCTCTGCGGGCAGGTCTTCAGGACCGGCCGTGCCCCACTCGTCACCAGCTCCAGCTCGGCCAACCCGACCTGGAACGAGGACCTCGTCTTCGTCGCCGCCGAGCCGTTCGATCCCTTCCTGACCGTCGTCCTCGAGGATGCAACTGCCGGCCAGCCGGTTGGCCACACCAAGGTCCCGCTCTCCTCCATCCACCGCCGACTGGACGACCGCGCGGAACCGCCGGCCCGGTGGCTCAATCTTGCCGGCGATGACGAGGGCCGCCCGTACGTCGGCCGGCTTCACGTTCGCGTCTGCCTGGAGGGCGGCTACCACGTGCTGGACGAAGCCGCACACGTGGCCAGCGACGTCCGCGCCGCCTCCAAGCAGCTCTCCAAGCCCCCCGTCGGCCTGCTCGAGGTGGGCGTCCGCGGGGCCACCAACCTGGTTCCAATGAAGCCGGCGACGCAGGGCGGCGCAAGCGGGTCCACCGACGCCTACGTGGTGCTCAAATACGGGCCCAAGTGGGCGCGCACACGGACCATCCTCGACCAGTTCAATCCGCGGTGGAACGAGCAGTACGCGTGGGACGTGTTCGACCCCTGCACCGTCCTTACCATCGGCGTCTTCGACAACTCCCGCTTCCGACCGGCCGAGGCCGGCGGGAGCGGCAGCAGTAAACCCCCGGTCAAGGATGCCCGTATCGGGAAGGTCCGCATCCGGCTCTCGACCCTGGACACGAACCGAGTCTACGTGAACTCGTATGCGCTGACCGCGGTCCAGCCGGCCGGGGCGAAGAAGATGGGCGAGATCGAGCTGGCGATCCGATTCAGCTGTCCGTCGTGGCTCAGCCTGCTGCAGACGTACGGCAGCCCGATGCTCCCGCGCATGCACTACGTCCGCCCGCTGGCCCCGGCGCAGCAGGACGCGCTGCGGCACACCGCGATGCGCCTCGTCGCCGCCCGGCTCTCCCGCTCCGAGCCCCCGCTCGGCCCCGAGGTGGTGCACCACATGCTCGACACAGACGCCCACACGTGGAGCGTGCGCCGGAGCCGGACCAACTGGGCGCGCGTGGTGGGCGGGCTCACTCGAGCGGCCGCGGCGGCGCGGTGGGTCCACGGGGTTCGCACCTGGTCGCACCCTCCGACCACGGCGCTAGTTCACGTGCTGCTGGCGGCCGCGGTGCTCTGCCCGCAGGTCATCCTCCCCACGGCGGCGCTCTACCTCTTCCTGGTGCTGGTGTGGCGGTACCGCGCCCGTCCGCGGGGGCCCGCCGGGATGGACCCCCGGCTGTCGCAGGTGGACGCGGTGGGGCCGGACGAGCTGGACGAGGAGTTCGACGTGTTCCCATCGTCGCGGCCGGCGGACTTGGTCCGGCTGCGGTACGACAGGCTGCGGGCGCTGGCGGGGCGGGCGCAGACGCTGCTGGGGGACGTGGCGGCACAAGGGGAGCGGGTGGAGGCCCTCCTCGGGTGGCGCGATCCGCGCGCCACCGGCATCTTCGCCGCCTTCTGCGTACTGTCGTCGATTGTGCTGTACGCGGTGCCGTTCCGGGTGCTCCTGCTGTTCGCCGGCTTCTACTACCTGCGCCACCCGAGGTTCCGCGGGGACATGCCGTCGGCCGGGTTCAACTTCTTCCGGCGCCTGCCGCCACTGTCGGACCGGATCCTCTAGAAGATCCAACAAGAAACGGATCCGGATCCATAGTTCCCACCCCCTATGATATATGCTTGTGATTATTTTATTTATTTACCTCTCCATCTTCTAATGCCAGTATTAAATTAAATAAACCCATATGCTATATTTTATATTCCTTAGCAAGAAAGATAAGATGAATGTTTGGTACCGCTATCGACCGTTGAGGTGTTAAATGATGGAATTTATTATTATTATTATATTATTTGAATTTGTTGACCGTTGGTTGTTACATGGTGCATTGAATGGGCGCGCATGGGAATTCACAGCCATGTCGAGACATAATGGGGTTTGGTGGGGGGATGATGTGAAGTCCTTTGCTTAAAGATGACAACCCCATACCGATTAGGAATTCAAGGGAAATCAAGTTGGCATGTCTTCTTACTCTCTTTGTTCTACCAAAATCTAATACATACACTAAAACAAACAGTAAGCAAACCATCTTTCTTCTACCTTTCTACCACACTGCAGAAAGAGCAGCATGAGACCTCCTCATGTGCCTTCTGAGCTCTGCAGGCAGAGAGCAGCAAGTAGATCATTAATTAGAAAATGAAACAGCCATATGCTCCCTGTCTGCTACTTTCAAGAAAGGTCAGTTCTGCCAGATGATGGCTCATTTAAGAGTATCATCCATTCTGCACAAGGTTTTCTTAGTCTTGTATTTTGATCTCAAAAGAAACTATACATAGTTCTTCTTCTTCTTTGTCATCCAATTGTGTGCATCAAGTGTCCAGCAATCTTAGCCAAAAAAGAATTTTGCTGCATTGAGAAGAAGCCACAGGTGGAATAAGTCCAGAGTATACATATCATATCTTTAGCATCCATTTCCATCTCCAGATCCACAACAGACCAAGATTCCTGACATGAGAAGTTAATTAACACAGACCAAGCTTATGCACCAAATCTTAGTTCCTCATCCTGGGTTGTCAAGTGCTGATGATATTGGGCTGGCCTCCTAGAGAAAATAATTAATCGGATTAGGCTAATTCAAGTTGATTTATTTTGTTCGAATAGCTTAAACAATGCGAGTCGATTAGCACTAATAAGTGATGAAAGATGAAGGAACACCTGAGATGATACTATTCCAGCTTTCTCTTCTTGCTTGTGTTTCTCCTGTGAATATTAGAAAGAAATGCCTAAAAGTTCAAAATCTCAGAGGAAATATCTGAAAAGAAAGTGATCAAGAGGAGATAAAGATGGATGTGATCAAGGTTGATCCTCAAGTCCAAGTCAAGATTTTCCAGCAACAGTCTGTGTTTCTTGAGGTTCATATATCTGTAAAACTATTTGTCTTTCATATTCATCATTCAATGGTGAAGATTGTGAGCATGTAGTTCGGTGTTGACCGGAAAAGAAGCAATTGTGATATCATCATTTGTTTGGTGTTGACTAGAAAAGAAGCTTCTGGATAAGATAAGTTTTGTTTTCTCTGTAGATCATGTTGACCACTGGAGCTCTCTGTATTTGACAGCCTAGAAAAGTTGATCTGAGATAGGAGCCATGACATTTCAGTAACTAAAACTGAATATATTTGAACTACTTTCAAAAATAATTACAAAAATTCAATTCATTACCTCCAATTTGAGTTGAGAATTTCACATTCATTATCTCTAGCTAAAAATATATTATTGCCCTGATTACTTCAAACAAAGGTGTGTAGTGATCAGGTCAGGCAGCTCAGAGAACTACTATGAATTAAGCTAGATCTGATTCTTGTGCATGATCATAATTTTTGAAGGTCTTTCTATATGTGAAGATCTGGTGGAGTGTTCTATCTTTGGTCTTTCTATTTGCAAAGATCCAGTCAAGTCTCATGGCATAGTTGATATGTAATTAATTGCAGGAAAATTGGAGAGTATAATTGGACATTGTGCTCTTGTTTGGAGAAGATCAAGTAGTCAACTCTAGGCAAAGAGATGTCAACATTCTGAAACAATCAAACTGCAACTCAGATAATATTAAAGCTGCAACCATTCAGACAAAAAAGGGGGAAAAAACCAAAACAGAATCTTATTCTGCACAATGTGGACAAGTTTCTGAATCTAGAATCAGGGTGAAGATGGCCAATTAGAATTTGAGTTGTGTGGAAGAAACACAAAATAAAAGGTCTGCATTATGAGCACAAACCTGCAATGGTCTGAAAGTCCACATGGATATTAATCATTAGGAACAACAAGACTTCAGATATTGTATAATAGGAGCTTTCTTCTTGTTCTCCAATGGCATGTACATGCAAGAGAAAAAGAAGTATCAGTTTGTCATACATATCTTTTAGAATTCACTCTCTCAATTGCCATTTGACTTCCTTTCACAGTGACTCAGAACCAGTTCCTGAGGAGAAAATGAAGGTCTCTGTGGGCCTGGAGAAGCTGAAATCAGCAACCATTTGAGTATTCATGTGAAAGATTGATGCAACTTGGAAGTACCAATCTCACTAGTTATCACCAACAAGAACAAGCCCCACTCTAAACTGATGAAATCATTCTGCATCTCTGACAATGCTCTCGAATTCCCCTTTCCATGTTCTCCAATAACACAAGCACAAAAGAACTTGGGAGATAGGAGAACACTGAATTCATCATACAAGAAAAACATCTAATCTGAATGAGTATATACAACTGATGAGCATCAAATAAATATTCATTCTTTATGTTTTCATATTCTCTGAAGATGCATGTATGTGGAAAAGAACTTGTGGCCTAGGAAAACACCATCAAAGTTTCATCAAATCCACCATGAGAAGAAATCTCTGTTCACGAGCCTACAAAACAAAGGTGGATGCAGATGATTGGCTTCCTCCATGTATGAAGTCACGGACAAGACTCCCTACTACTTGTTCGACTTAATCTCCTGATCAATCCTGAATCAGCAGTGTCATTTCTAATCTGGACAACCAATGGGCAGTATTAAATCATTTCCATCTTATAACAAACCGAATCTATGAACGGTCTCACTGTTCCTCACAGTTTTCTTGGCTTGAAGCAGCAGTATTGGAGCTAAACAACGGTCTGTAAATTTCAGAAAAATTTGTGCGATGTGGACATCGATGTAACACTAAATTGGCACTTTTATGAGATACAGTGGTGCATGATGCCGACCTTCTGCTGATCTTTGTACCACATAACTGTCGTGTTGTGGCAACAGTAGCAATAAGTCGTTTATGGAACTGCTGTGTTCATCATGTGTTGTAGCTCTCTCAGTTATTTGTTTCTCCTAAACATTGATGGGTTTGAGGTGTAGGCAATTTCCTGGAAACATCGCATATCTGTTCTGTCCAAATAAAACACAACGTTTTAACAATCGACAGGGGAGGCAACAAGTGACTCTCACGTGTAACATGACTCCATTCACCCTCGCACTCTTCCTGCCATCAGCAGCACAGCCCCGGAACAAGCTACAGCACTGCCCACAAATGGCCGAGCTGAGCACATTGCAGATCCGTGTAGCTGCTTCTCGATGGCCAACAAGTTCTCGGCCATGGACTCATCCGCAAGTTGCACTCTGAACCTGGTGACACAATCGATCCTCTCGTTCTTCACGTAGTGTTATAATAATTCTGTACCTTGCACCGTAATGCTTTTGCTGCGCAAAGAACTCAGGGCTATAAAGCTTCAAGAATCCGAAGCTTTTCATGCACCTCGGGTGATGCCTTGGAGGTAAACAAAGAAGATCCTTTCTTCCTCTTAGCTCCTCCAATGATCTTTCGACTCACCTGAGGATATAAAAGCCTTTCTCCTCATCTTTTGGAAACAAGGAAGCGTGCCCTGATGGCATTTGTGCTCTCAGATAACTTGAAGGCCTTCGTCAACACTTCCTTCCTCCTCCTCTTGTGCTTCTTCTTGACATCCCATATCCGTTCTCCGACCACCTCCTTCCATGTCACGAGCACTCAGACCGCCAAGCCACCTGGCTGCGCCGGGCTTCACAAGCTAAAAGACCATCATTCCAAGTGCCTCTACATCAAGAGCCATCACCCCTGCTTGTCTCAGGGCTATGTCAACTATCTCCAGCTTTACTACTGCCTTTGCGGCAGTCACCCTCCGTTTGGGTATGTGCTGCTGGCTCTGTGGCTTCTGATTCTGTTCTACTTGCTGGGCAACACGGCCTCGCAGTACTTCTGCTCCTCGGTGGAGAACCTGTCGAGGGTGCTTAACCTGTCTCCGGCCATTGCCGGCGTGACGCTCTTGTCGCTGGGGAACGGCTCGCCTGATGTGCTTGCCAGCATTGTCTCGTTCCGCTCGGGCTCCGGCGAGGTGGGGCTCAGCAGCGTCCTGGGTGGCGCCTTCTTCGTGTCATGCGTCGTCGTCGGCATCATCAACCTCTCCGCAGGCTCGTCCCCCCGCGCGGCGGCGGTGCGCATCGATCGCTCGAGCTTCATCCGCGACGTGTGCTTCTTCGTCGTCGTGCTGTCGTCTCTCTTCGCCATCCTGCTTGTTGGCAGGATCAACATCTGGGGTGCAATGGCCTTCACGTCCCTGTACTTCGTCTACGTCTCCATCGTGTCAGTGACGCACTTCTGCGGCGAGAAGTACGAAGACCTCGCCATGCCCATCCTGGAGAAGGAGGAGCTCAACGATCCGGTGACCGCGGCGAAGGAGGCGTGGCCCGAGGGAGAAGAAGAGGAGCCACAGGACTCGGCAAGCTCCCTGATGCTCAACTCCACGGCGTCGCAATACCTGAAGTGCTTCCTCTACCTCATGGACATGCCTCTCTACCTTCCAAGGAGGCTAACCATACCAGATGTATCAGAGGAGAGGTGGTCGAGGACGTACGCAGTGACTTCAGCCACACTGGCGCCCATCTTTGTGGCAGCACTGTGGAACTCCAAGAGAGGCTCGAAAGAGAGCTTCGCCATCTATCTCTACGGAGGCCTGGTGGGCATAGTTCTGGGGCTCATTGCACTGCACACCACCATGAAGGAGAGCCCTCCAAAGAAGTTCTTGTTCCCTTGGTTGGCAGGGGGGTTCCTGATGAGTGTTCTCTGGACTTACATCATTGCCGAGGAGCTGGTAGGACTGTTGGTGTCCTTGGGTTTCATCTTCGGAGTGAGTCCGGCAATCTTGGGGCTGACGGTGCTGGCATGGGGGAACTCCATCGGAGACCTGATAGCCAATGTGGCAATGGCCACGAGCGGGGGTCAGGACGGGGCCCAGATTGCGATGTCAGGGTGCTACGCGGGGCCCATCTTCAACACACTGGCAGGCCTAGGGCTATCCCTGGTGGTGTCAGCTTGGGCGGTGCATCCAGATTCGTTTGTGATCCCAGTGGGCAGTGCGCTGTTCGAGATCCTGGGGTTCATGATTGGGGGCTTGCTGTGGGCTCTGGTGATGCTGCCGAGGAAGGGGATGAAGCTGGATAAGGTGGTGGGAGTTGGCCTCTTGGTCATCTATTTCTGTTTTTTGTCTCTCAGGCTCTCCCAAAGCCTTGTGCTGGTGCAAGTAGTTTAAGCAGGCGATCGGCTCTCCGGGTGTTCTTCTATGTACTTGACTTGATGTAGGAGATGTTAGACTTTTGGTTTTGATCACCTGAACAGTTTATACTCTCTCTCTCTCTCTCTCTCTCTCTGCGTGGTAGAAGAAATCAATCACATAAGATCACAATGCATCACTTAAATGTAAAGATCATAGTAGAGTTAATGTAACACTTCTGTTGCTTATTTGCTACAGATGAAAGAAGCACACAGCTTATACTCTCTCGCGCTCTCTCTCTCTCTCTCTCTCTCTCTCTCTCTCTGTAAAACATAGTTTTCAGTGTTGAAATGCAAAGATCGGAGCGACAATACTGTACTTTGTTTATTTGCTACAAATGACAAGATAGGATGGGGCGAAATTGTCGCAAATGCTTGGACACAAGTGCGCTAATCGAGTGAGACGTGTGGGGGCTGCATCATGTGCCCTAACGTCACGAACACTCCAGCTCTTCTCTGTCTCGTAGCTTCTGCCTATGAACAGAACATGCCACAAATGCACGTCGATATCAAGGCTCATCGTCGTCGTATTCGCCGTCGTCGTCAGTGGAATGGAATTTTGCAGGGCGTTTCAGGCTTCAGAGTTTGAAAATTCATGCATGCACGCCGAAATCCTTCGCTTAAAAAAACCTCAACCATGATACAGTTATTATGGTGATGATATCTACCAGGCAAAACAACAAGAAATGGCAGGGAATCTTGTTGCCTGGCTCTGCTACTCTCTCTCTCTCTCTC